ACACGTAAGGATCTCTCTGGCCAACACAGTGATGGCTTGTCCCAGGCAGCCTCCAGGCTCCCAATGTCAGTGGGTTCCTGGCGTCACCTGGCGTTCTACTGAGAAAGTCTGCAAGGGCTAAAAGAAGTTTCCAGACCCAGTGAGAAGGTAGAGGGAGAGGTGGGCTGGTGACCTGGAGGTCAGCTGTGGTCTGTTGGGTCCCTTTGGGTTCGGAGAGCCCTTGCTCCCCACTAGGCAGCGAAGAGTCCAGGCTTAGCCATCAGCACAGATCTGACTCTGTGCCTTTACTTTTCAACATAAAATGGGGTTGGGGGCGTCTGGGTGGCTCAGTCAGTTAAGCATCTGCCTTTGGCTCAGGTCATGATCCCAGGGTCCTGGGATCGAGCCCTGCTGTGCAGGGAGCCTGCTTCTCCCTCTCCTGCTCCCCCTGCTTGAGCTCCCTCTCTCTCTGTCCAATAAATAAATAAATCTTTAAGGGCGCCTGGGTGGCTCAGTTGGTGGGGCGACTGCCTTCGGCTCAGGTCATGATCCTGGAGTCCCGGGATCGAGTCCCACATCGGGCTCCCTGCTCAGCAGGGGGTCTGCTTCTCCCTCTGCCCTCTTCCCTCTTGTGCTCTCTGTCTCTCATTCTCTCTCTCTCAAATAAATAAATAAAATCTTTAAAAATAAATAAATAAATCTTTAAAAAAACATAAAATGGGGTTAACAATATACTACTGCCTCATAGGCTTATCATGAGGATGAAGAGAGGTAGGGTATACAGGCCATTTGGTAGAGCTTGGCACATAGGGGGTCTCAAGTAATGGTGGGAACCATTACTGTTTTGTGCTTTGGGTGGTTGTTATTCACAGAATCACGTGGTGGTAAGGAGCACAGGCTCTGGAGCCAGACTGCCTGGATTTGAGCATCAGCTCTGCTACTGAGCTTCAGCGAGTTCTTTAGCCTCTCTGTGCCTCAATATCATCATCTGTGAACAGGGATAATCACACTGATCTTAGAGCAAATTGGAGGAGGATTAAATAAATTGATTTATGCAAAATACAACTCTTACAAAATGTTAAATAAGTGTTATTATTATTATTATTATTTTTTGGAAGCTGAAGATTCACTCATCTTTATTCAGAGACTACTCTCAGTGATAAGGAGAACAAAGTATACTGATAATTACATTTCAGAAAGTGAATAAGTGTTATTATTATTATTACCTATAGAGGTGGTCAGAGCAAGTGATCCCTGGAAAGAACTTTGGAGATAATAGTAAGAGGAAGCTAGAGCTCAATCAATAAGCATTAGCTGTGTGGGATTGTGAGGGCACTGACTTGTGTAGGGAGGGAGCATGTGGGTTGTTTATTTTATTTTATTTATTAATCATCTGTTTTTGCACGGGCGTTTGTTGGAGGAAAGAGCCCTGGGGGGCTGGGCCTGAGATTGAGACACAGCGGCGTTTTAGAAGCCACAAGCTGGTGGTCTTGGACAAGTTCCTTCCTGTTGAACCTCAGTTTCTTCATCTGTAAGATGGGGATGATGAGAGCATGAACCTCTGGGAGGGGGCTGTTGTGAGAAATAAATAAACAGCACGCTTGGAAATCATTTCACTTGGTCCCTTCTAAGTATCCTGGAAATTGTAGTTGCTATTCTAGTGCTGTTACTGTGTGCAGGGTCTGTCCCACGTGGGCAAGGCGATTCAGACCCAGGGTTGCTAACACGACATCATCTGCTCAGCCAAGATCTGCTGAGCTCCTATAAGGCACCAGGCACCCTTCTAGGCACAGGGGATGATGCTGTGAACAAGACACCCAAGGGTCCTGCCCTCCTGGAGCTGAATGTGCTGGAAATTCCACTAGTGTCGTCTGTTGGGGGTTCTGAGAAAGGGAAGGAAAAAAGACATGAGCATATGCACCCCCCGTTTGCTGGAAGATGTGTTGGGCTCCAGGGGTGTCCACGGAGGGAACTCTGAGACGGGGCTTCCTGGACCTGGAGCCTGAGTGAATGCAGGAGGCCACCAGGATCGGCCCCATGCCTGGAACGAGAGCTCCGGAGCCCTAGAATTGTAGAGAAAACAGTGAGCAAAAATGCGTCCCGGTCCCGAAAGCCATGCACTTGAGGGAGGCACAGAGGCTCCTCCTTCAGTCCCGATAAGACTCCACCCCACACAGGGTTAGGGCTGGGCCTGCAGGTGAAGGGGTGTGAGGCTGGGCAGGGCCGGGGGCTGGAAATACTTAGAGGAGGAGGGAACGTGGGGTCTTGCTGCCGTGCAAGGGAAGAGCACAGAAGTGGGCAGCCAACCAACGGAGTCTTTGTCACTATCTGGGTGACCTCAGGCTGCTGCCATTCCCTCTGGATCCCCCCCCCGCCCCCGTTTCCCAACTGCAGGGTGATGTCACCCTCCTCCTGAACTGTCTGTTAGAGGATGAACGGTGGTCCTTCCCAGGTGAAAGCTCTAAGAGGAAAGCAGCCCAAAGAACACTTGTTCTGGACCCTGGGGCCTACTATTGCCCCCACCCCCGCCCCAACAGGCACAGGAATCCCACAGGGGCTTTCCTTCCCGGGGAGAGCCAGCCTGGCGGCCCCTCTCCCTCCCTGGCTCCTCCTGGGCCTGGCCCCATGTTTTCATGTGGCTAAGGACAGCCCGTAGGGTTTACTGACCCCTCTCCAGGTGGCTGGGCCAGCAGGCTGAGCATCTGCCTCCTTCCTCAGCTTCCCAAAACAGAAGGCTGGCCGGACCCAGAAATGTGCTGAGAATCTGGGGGCGGGTGGACAGCATACAGCAAGCATGTGGGAAGATGACTGGACGAGACCCGGGGGCCCCCAAATACCCCCAAGTGTGGCCCTTGGCAGGTGGCTTCACCTCTCTGAACCATGAGGGTCCAGTGAGGTCATGAATAAAGTGCTGAGCACATGGCCTGGTATACAGTCAGCGCTCAATAAATGTGAGCCATGCCTGTGATTATAAGAGGTAATGCAGCAGAGGGGCCAAGAGCCAGACTGCCTCGGTTCGAATCCCAGCTCTGCCACTTAACCGGGTGTGTAGACTGGGGTGAGTCACATAATCTCACTGAGCCTCAGTTTTCTCAGCAGTGCAATGGGGTTAATGAAAGCCCCTTCCTTGTAGGGTTGTAGGAGGGATTCCGTGAGTTAAGATACATAAATCCAACGGGCTTAGAACAGAACCCGGCACACGGAAAGTGCTGGATAAATGCTAATGATCGCTATTTCTGCTTTCTAGCTGCACCCCTTCCTCTCCTCTCCTGCTGGCTTCGGGGCTGCAAGCATCCTTGAAATGAGAAGGTGGATGAAGGCTCTGCGGGGTTGTGGCAAAGAGACCTAGAGAGGAAGAAGGAGGTTCTTCCAGCTCACACCCATCAGCAGACTCGCCCATAAATAAACACAGCCCCATCCGGGCATAAACACAATCACCGCTCCACCCACCCAAATCCACACACAAACGAACTGGAGTCCCAGGCCAGGTCCCAGGCAGGGCCGGCTTTCTTCTCCGTGGCAGGCAGTGAATCTCCCCCCTGGGACTCCAACCCAGCCGGCCCCGCCCCAGCTGTAACGACAGGGAGAGCCAGGCTTCTGTGTCCGGCCATGACGTCAGCCTGGAGCTTCGAGCCCGATGATCTCACCAGAGTCAAGTGGGGACCCGGTCACTCACTCGGGATGGGGGAGCGGGGCGCCTCAGTCTCCCTATCTGGGCTAGTGGGGGAGGGAGAGTGGGGGTCTCCACCAGTCAGCTCGGCGCGGACCCAGGTGACCCCCAACCCCAGGCCCTGCCACCCTGGAGCCATGCCTCTGCTTCCTCACCTGCAAAATGGGGGTGGGGAGAACACCCCTGTTGTTGTTGCTGCGAGGGTTTAACATGAGGGGCAACCCGGGGCTCCCCATGGAGACAGGTCCGTAGGAAGAGGCTGTAAATGCTGGTGGTGGTTGTTCTCCATACTATTATTTTTAGCAAACGGCCTCATGCCCGCACTGCCTAACATCAAACTGATTCCTCAGCCAGTGACTCACTGAATTCCTTAACACCCCACCCCACCCCACCCTGTGAGGACGGCAGGGCTGAGACCCTGCAGCCCACAGATGGAGAACTGCATGCCCAAATCGCCCACCTGTTGTTGGGGACAGATCAAAGATTGGAACCCAAGCTCAGGGGGCCGTTAGGTCAAAGGACAATTTGTAAGTTCATTCTCCGGAAGCTCTGGGGGAGGAACAGGGAAATCTAGCAAGTAGGTCCTCTCTGGGCGTCGGGTTCAGGCCAGACCCACTGCACCTACTGATAATTAGCATTATTAGCAGTCATAATCCGAGGACTACTACTACTAATAGAGGCTACCATTGGTTATCACTTCCTAGGGCAGTTTCCTCACAGGATTGTTACTGTGGTTGAAGGCAGTTTAGTATTTGGAAAGCACTTAGAACAGGGCCCAGCATACAGCAAGCTTTACGTAATTGAGAACTCAAAATTGAGTATATAAAAGTGTCAGTCTGCTAAATGTTTAAGGATGATCACCTCATGTGGTCCTCATGGACACAGCCACGAGGTGGCTACTATTATGTCCATTTTACAGGTGGGAAGAATGACGGGCTCACAGATGCCAGGGAATAATGTTACTGCTCCCAGAGGACGCTGAAGGCAAGCTCCCAGGTCGGGTTGTAAGCGGGGGGAATTGCTGCCCAAGGCCACCTGCTTTCAAATCCACTGGGCTCCCATCCCTCTTCTCTCCTTCGGCAGGTCCCCAAGGCGGGCAGGACGCAGCAGGCTCTGGGGAAGGTATTACGGGTGACCGGAGCCCTGGCAGGCGGAGGGTTATTAATAGCCTAGCCGGTCTTTGCACCGGACTTGGGGAGGCGGGCGGGGGAGGGAGCGGCGGGCGGGGGCGGAGCTGAGCCCAGCCGGGGCGGAGAGTGTCCGGACTGGCTGGCTGGACTTGGCCGCCAAGGCCCCTCCCCGCCCCCTGGGAGCCCAGCTGTTCCCTCAGCTGATTCTCGGGGACTGGTTCATCGCCTCCGAATACTCCTGTGACAGGAGGCACTGGCAAAGCCCGCCCCCAGCCCCAGGCAGCAATAAATAGAAGGCTCTCAGCCCAGGAGAAGCAAGAAGTTTCTAGGCCCGCGTCCCTGGGTTTATTAAGCTCCTGACGCTCCTCCATGAGACGTCTCAGCGGCTCTGGCTGAGAGCCTGGACAGCCTGGGAGGACAGTGACTGGCTGATCTCCGGTGAGGCAGTGCGGAGAGGGGCCCTCTGGAATTCTGCTGGGCCGGCAGGTGGTCGCCTTTGGAGTGCCTTTGGGGGCTGGGACCCCAGCCGGGTACCCCCTCTGTCCTTGGCAGTGGATGGTTCAGCGTTTTCTGAAGCTGAAGAATAAGCTCGGAGGGCCAGCGCCCCCACCCCCCCACATCACCTTGCTGTGTGACCTTGGGCAGGTGGCTCCCTCTCTCTGAGCCTCCGTTGCCCCTCCAGCTCAGCAGCCATGGCTGACGGTCAGATGCCCTTCTCCTGCCACTATCCAAGCCGCCTGCGCCGGGACCCCTTCCGGGACTCGTCCCTCCCCTCGCGCCTGCTGGATGATGACTTTGGCATGGACCCCTTCCCCGACGACCTGACGGCCTCATGGCGCAACTGGGCCCTGCCTCGATTCTCCCCGGGGTGGCCTGGGACCCTGAGGTCAGGCATGGTGCCTCGGGGGCCGACGGCTGCAGCCAGGTTTGGGGGACCTGGGGAGGGCAGAAGTCCCCCACCCTTCCCCGGGGAGCCCTGGAAAGTGTGCGTCAACGTGCACAGCTTTAAGCCAGAGGAGCTGATGGTGAAGACGAAAGACGGATACGTGGAAGTGTCTGGTGAGTGAGGGGCAGGAGTGAGAGAGAACCAGGAGAGGGGTGTAGGCCTCAGCCCCGGGAATAGTCAAGAGACCGTCTCTTCCCTTAGAGGGTGAGCTGTGACAGCAGCGTGTGACTCAGGTGACTTCAGGGCTGAGGAATGCAGCCCAGAGAGCCCACAGAAGTTATCTTTCTGGAAAAGCGCTCCTGTCCTGGCTTCCGGGAGACACCTCAACCTGACCCAGCTGGGGGGGCCTTTGGGGGCTGTATCAGTCAGAATAGGGGCTGGGAAATGGAAACCACGGCACATGTTTTGACAGAAAAAAAATTCATGTAAAGAATGAGTTCAACAGACATAGAAGAAATACAAAGACAAGAGATAGGACTCTCGGCGCCCCAGGGACACAGCCCAGTCTAGAAGGGTGGGCCATGATAGAGCTAATAATCAGCACAGGTTTCAAGAAGAACACCTCCCCTTGTCCCAGATAAGGAAACTGAGGCATGAGAGTCACTATAACAATTCTAATTGGTAACCTTGATTGAGCGCTTACTCTCTGCTAGGCACCATACTACACGCTTTACTGGTAGCATCTCAGTTAAAACAACTAGAAGAGGTGGGGCCTGTTTGTCTCCTCTTTTTACAGAGGAGGAAACTGAGGCACAGAAAGCTTAAAGTAACATGCCCACAGCTGCCTGGATTCAAACCCAGGCTGTCTTGGGAACTGGGAGGCCAGAAGCGATTTGACGGTTTATTGAGCGCCTACTGGGTACCAAGAACTGGGCTAAGACTCTTACATTCCTTCTACCAGATAATCCTCACTCACTCCAGCCCTGGGAAGCGGGGCTGTCTACTCCCATTTTACAGCTGAGGAGGTTGAGGCCCAAGCAGGACTTGTCCAAGGTCACGCCATGAGTCAGCAGCCAGCAGGAAGAGTTTGGGCCTGCCCAGGACTCCAGGCCCAGGGCTTGCGCCACCTCCCAGCCTGGGCGAAAGGAAGAGGAGACAGGAGCCTCAGTCCCCATTAAGCAGGGCAGCAGGGGAACGGCTTCCTCTGTCTTCCCTCCCAATTAAGGCTGCATTAAAAGGAGTGTGTTCCTGGCAGGCTCCCAGCCAGAAAATCAGTAAAAGCCATTGCAAAGCCAGGCTGGGCAGAGACAAGCCCGGCAGGGCAGGGCGGCGTGTAGGGGGAGTTTCAAAGCTTCGCAGGGCAGAATTATAAACATCAGAGGCTCGGGGGGCGGGGGGGGGGTGTCACGAGGCATGTTGGGGCCACGTGCGGATGGAGGTGTTCAGCCGGGCCTTCCCAACTTGGCTGCAGTTGAACCTGGCTCTGCCATGGACCAGCAGGATGTGCAAATTGTTTATGTTCTTTGTGCGTTGTTTCCTTACCTGGAAATGGGGGTTCCAGTGGCTACGCAGCATGAGGATCGCTGTATTACATGGGCCGATGCATGTCCAGTGTGGACCTGCTGCCTGGAACACGAGGGATCAGTATTCCTACGGCTGTGATGTTGCTGTTATTAAAATGCTGGGTACAGAGCAAGGCCCCAGGAGACCGTAAATGGTAGATGCTCTTTGAGACCTGGGTTCCAGTCCCGACACTGCCAGATGGATAAGGACAAGAAAGTCTTCCCACCACTCAGAGCCTCAGTTTCCTTATCTGCAGAACGGGTTGTGTAATAATATCGGGCCTGCAAGTCTGTAGGGAAGATTAAAAATACATGCAGACAATATATGATAATAAATGCAGAGAGTCTGTAAAATGGGGAGAATGACAGTGTCTGTCCGGCACTCTGTGAATAAGGGGATTATTACCAACACCTCTCCCATCTTTGTTTTAATTGGGATTCCAGAATCTTCCACCCCAGGTTGGAGGGTTTCCCATGCCCTGTGGCCCCTCCAGGAGACCTCTGGAGGATGTTTCCTTCATTCTCCTTTCTAGGTGCTTCTTACTAACTGGGCTGTGGCAACTCCAGGCTGAGATCCCAGAGAAGTACCTTACTAATCCAGTGGCTCTGCATGAGGCTTTGAGCGGGTCATGGAGCCTCAGTTTCCATATTTGTAAAATGGGGTTGTTGGGTGCTTAAGTAGGCAGACAAAGCCTTTTAAAGTTGTAAAAATGCCTCCCAGGTGTGCATTTAGCAACCTTAGCTTGACAGAATCCAAATCCCCTGAGAGTACGTACAGAGACTTTCACAAATGGATTTAAGAAATCAGATTGATATCAGGGCTCCATTTAAAATCAGATCCAGTCTTTTCTCCTGTTATCACATAATGACAGACCTATTCTTCCTCAAGCACCTGGTGCAGGGCACTGTGCTCAATGCCTCTGTATGTTGGCTCCCTGGTTCCTCACATGGACTCTCAAGGAAATATGGGTAGGTTTGTGATACCCACTTTACAGGTGAGGAAGTTGAGGCTCAGAGAGAGTAACTCACCTGAGATCCCCTGTCCTCCATGGCACATATCTGCAATTCAAAGCCAGGCCTGCTTAGATGGTTCCAAGTCAGGATGGCTGGATTTTGTTCTGCTTATACGGCCTTGGGCAAATCCTGCCACCTCTTGGGCCTCAGTTTTCCTTAGGAGGAGTTGAACTCAATCAGTATGTATTTGCCAAATGGTACATTTTAAGATATCAATAGGTATCTAAGAAATGCAGGATAGGTGGCCCAGAATTTTAAAGATGTGCCAGAGGAAACAAAATTATAAACAGGTCTCCTCACTGCAGGACTTATCAGAGCTTTGAATTTGCTTAGGTAATTTGTGGATCTCTGGAGGCAGCCCTGTCTTATCTGACCACATCTGAGTGTCTAGTTCCAGGGAAGTATTTGGAAAATGCTAGACTAGATGCTTTCCATGATGCCTTATCCACCCCTACTCCTACCCTGCAGCCACCAGCCAAGAAATATTCTCTTCATGGGCCACTGGGCCAGGACCTGGCCAAGAAGGAACTGGAAAATCCAGAGGCCTTATTCCCACCCCTTCTCCTTAATCCCAGGGCCTCCGCCTCCCCTGGAAACAGCACCTTCTTTCTTTAGCTGGGCCAATGCCTTTCCCCGAAGTGCTGATGCCTGCTTCTTGGCACCTACGTTTCTCTGAGGCATGTTGAAAAAATAGTAGCTGTGAGGGGCCTCTGGCTTGCCCTGGCCTCCGGATGAGTTCTTTTTTTAAAAAAAGAATCATAATTACTTTTTTTCTGTTTACAAAAATAAAATATTTCCACGGTAGAAAATGTAGATAGGAAAGCAAAATCAGAAATTAAAAATCACTCATAATCCTTAAGCTGCCCTAATAAATAGGTATTCAAATTATATGCAAATTAAGCTTCAACATGAACCTCCGGTAGCAACATCCATTTTCAACCAGGCTTCTCTTTATGGAAATCTTGGAGCTGTGCCTGCTCAGAGATCTTCCCCTCCCTAACCCCAATACCCTATTTTCAGGGTGTGGACAGGCAAGCTTAGCCTTTCAGGAGCGGTCCTTTCCCGGACATCAAAATAAGCCACAAACCTTCACCCTCACACAACATTTTTACAACTTACAAAGCAATCCTGTGACTCATTCTCATTTGCTCAGCAACCCAATAATTAGGAAGGTGTTGCCATCCCCATTTTCGAGAAGAGTAAACTGAGGCTCAGAGAAGAATGGGGTTGTGCTAAGAAGTGTTAGAGCAGGGACTGAAAGTCCAAAACCTACATCCCTTTGCTCCAGCATTTCCAAGCTGTGTGACCCTGGGCGTATCACTTAACCTCTCTGAACTTCCGTTCCCCATCCACAAAATGGTAATAATGAAAGTCCCCGCTTTCTAAGGTTGTTGTGAAAATTAAAGAAGGAGCTGTAGCCAGGGGCTGGGAGGGTGGCTGACACCAAGTAAGCGCTATGTAAGAGTCTGTTATTGCTATTGTTTTGATCATCATCATTGTTTATTATTCTCAGGACACCAAGTGTGCAAAAGGGCTGAGTCAGAGGCACTGGCCGGTCCCCAGGGGAAGCAGGCCTCCAGAGGCCTGGGCTCTGGGGACGGTTTCAGGGAACAGACAATGTTCCCCTGGCCACAGGCCTGGGTTAGGGCTGGACAGTTGGTACTCATGGACTTGGCAGGTCCAAATCTACTCTCCCAGCACCTTCAGAGCATAGCGTGTTCTGGGTAACCAGACACTCCGGTTTAAAAACGAATTCCTATCCGGTACCACTTTCTGCCCCCCTTGTGAGTGAATAAACGGATGCAGCCTTTCCTAAGGGCCATTTAACAATACAGATCAAGCCTCAGAAATCCTAGAACTTAGAATTTATCCTAAAGAAGGCATCAGGCTGGATGCAAAGATCCAGCTGTAAGGGTGTTCGGTGCAATGTGGTGCGATAGGTTCTTTCTAAGGTCACATATCTGTCTCAGTGCCCAAAAGCCAGGGAGTGACTAAATGAACTTACGTATCCCTACAGAGGAATGTTGTGCAACCATTAAAAAGTCACGTGGTGGAAGAATATTTGGTGTAACATGGAAAAATATCATGTGTTAGCAAGAGATAGCAGTTTTGAGCGTAACATAAAATATGATCCTATTTGCTAAAATACATGATATACCCCTATGCCATATAACATTTATGCGTGCCTAAGTAACATAGAAAGAAAAGTCTGAAACTTAAACAAAAATGTGGTTTCGTCGGGGGGTTTCAATCATTTATTTCTTTATTTTCTACATTTTCTAGGATACCCTTGTATTATCTTACAATCAGAACAAAGTCATTAATAAAGAAAGTATGAATAATTTTAAAAAGCAATTAATAAGGTAATCACCTATAAATTGTCAGTTTTTAAAAAACCAGGGCTGCAAAAAAAAAAAATCCCACAGGGTTATTTACAGTCTGGATTCCAAAGCTTCTCAGAAGGGTGTCGCTGTGCACATGAGGGTTCTTGGCCGGGAAATGTGGCCCCACAGATGAGGAACAAATAAAAGATAGGAGCTAGAAAGCTCCACTGGGCACTAATCTGGTGTGTGTAAAGAGAAATTAGAGAGGCGCCGGGGTGACTCAGTCGTTAAGCGTCTGCCTTCGGCTCAGGTCATGATCCCGGGATCCTGGGATCGAGCCCCGCATCGGGCTCCCTGCTCAGCGGGGAGTCTGCTTCTCCCTCTGCCCCTGCCCCCAGCTTGTGCTTACTCTATATCAAATAAATAAACAAAATCTTAAAAAAGAGAGAGAGAGAAAAATTAGAGGCTTTCCCCATTAAAAAAAAAAAAAAGACTGAAGAGTGGCCAGGAGGCTCAGAAGTTGCTATAAAAATTGCAAGGTGATAGCCAGTTTGGGCCCAAACCTTCATGTAATCTTACCTTTTTCCTTCCCGAGGAAGAAGAACTGCCCTCCCCTGCTACCCCGTGGAAGGCGGGGCAGGTAGAATTTCAAATCTGTGATGTCTGATGTGTCATTTCTTAAGGAGACCTCCCCTCCTTTGGAGACTCTGGGTGTTTTTGTTTTGTTTTGTTTTTTAGCAGATTGAAGCATTACTTCCAGGCAATTCATCCGTTTTAGGTACAGATAATGTGGCTCAAAGAGCTCATTGCAAGCTGGAACAGGAAGAGGGGCGTGAGACCCCAGCACTTGGCGTAGATTCAGGGAGAGCTGGTTCAGAGCCCAGGCCTGCCGTGCACCTGCTGGGTGACTGTGGACCCATCACTGGGCCTCAGTTCCCGCCTCCGTCACCAAGGGGGAAGGAAGCCCACCTTCAGAGCCAGGAAAGGCTCTGTGCGTTGTAAAGCCCACTGGGTGGCAAGCCAGCCCTCAGCATGTGACCCCACTTCTTTCCTACCACCCCTCCTGGGATGCTAGCCTCCGGGTTTGACGGGCTGGCTAGGGGGCAAGGGCTGAGGTTGCTCAGACAACTGGTGTCTCCAGACTGAGCCCTGAGCCAAAGGGTGGGGAAGGGGCAGGGGCTGGGGCAGGATTCGAACCCAAGCCCGAGTCCTAACTGAAGTCCAGGGGCATAGATGCTTACATGTGGCATTCCGCTCCCTTCTAGGCAAACATGAAGAGAAGCAGCAAGAAGGTGGCATCGTTTCCAAGAACTTCACAAAGAAAATCCAGTAAGTCCCCTGGCGGTGTGTTTTCCAGGGTGGGGGCGGAGCAGTGGGTAGTGTCTGGGACCCGAGATCTGGTGTGTCTCCCTCTTGGGCATCTCTCTTTCAAGACAAGCCCCAGGGCGGGGAATTGAACCCTCACCGCTCACCCCTCACACCTAAAGGGGAGAAGGTGTCACAGCAAACCTGTGATTCCGTGAAAATCGGGGCACTCTCCGACCCACGTGGTATGTCTGGGGAGTATCTCCATCACCATCAAGAGGGCCTGTCCCCTGATGCCCAAATGCCCAGTAGAATCTTGCGAAGGTTGCTTGCTCTGAGTGTCCCACCACCACCGGGAGAGCATGCCGCCTTCCCTAGCGCATGCAGCTGGAAGGTGTCCCGACATTGCTGTTTCCTCCCGGGGGGGCTTTGGAGGCTGAGACTTTGGGACACGTGAAGGGCAGGTTTTGCTGAGGGGTGTGGGAAGGGCTGAGCCTGGGGGAATCATGCCAGCACCAGGAAGACCACCAGGCTGGGCCAGTGAACCAAAGCCAACCGTAGGGAGGGAGCCTGCGGCAAGGTGCCGAAGAGGGACACCTCTTCCCACGCACACCCTCTAGACGGCAGCACTCGGCCACGTACGCTTCTGGCCCCAAAATCTTGTCCCAGTCAGTGCATTTAATCTCTGCTGCGGGCAGAAGAGACATTCCCCTCCTTGTATGATGGGGAAACTGAGTTCCCAGAGGTGAAGAGACCTGCCCAGAGTCCTTACGATTTGAATTTAGAACAGCCCCCAACCGATCCCTGAACCCTGAGTGCCACGCTCATGTCTGGAGCAAGGGATGCCCCTTCCTTACCCGTAAAAGGGATCGGGTGGGTGTTGATTCCAGAGGTGCACAGTAGGTCCCCAGAAGTGGCAGTTTGTTGTGACTATTACTGGTGGTGGTGTTGAGTCTTTACTCCACGCCTGGCCCTGGCAGAAATGTCCCGGGGCTGGAAGAGAGTGTGCTGGCTGCATTGAGGCTTCTTTCAGCTTTGGGATTCGGCAGGCCTGTCTCTCCTGCCATGTGCCCAGTCCTGACCCGCCCAGCGCCTCTGGAGTTCTTAGAAGCCCATGGACGCTTCCTGATAAGGCAAACGGCTGTTTTTCTTCACGCTCGCTGGCTCGCCTGCCATCCCCAAAACCCACACCTCTCCCTGGTATAGCAGCCACATGAAACGCTGCTCAGAGGGAGAGGGGAAAGGAAAGGGGGTGGGGGGAAAGGTGCAGGGGGAGCTGATGTTTCTTGGAAGAGACTCAAATAAGGTCTCAGGATGGAGTCACAGGCAAGGCAACGCTGGGGAAGGGACTGAGCTGGAAAGAAGTCAGGGGGTTAATCATCTTTATAAAATGTGGATTTCCCCATCTCCGAGGCCTCCGAGAAACAGCTTGCTGGGGTGACTTGACCAGACAGAAATGCCTAAAGCTGCTCAAGGCACAGCTGGGGTCCAGCAGCTGAGCAGAGCTACTTGTTACAATATTGGACTAGCCATTGTCCTGAGCCCCCCAAGTGCCCTCCCTAGCCAGCCTGGCCACCCTGACCCTATCCGCAGGACCCTCCGAGCTTCCCCACATTCCAGAAACAAAGGGTCTCCAGCACCCTCCTCCATCACTGTGGCACGTATCCATCCATTCTGGCGGGTCATTGTCCCACTGGGCCAGTTGCTAAGTATTTTGAAACTCCTCTGGACGTAGGGAGTCCTGGTTCCATGATAAAGAAAGTGGATAACTTGGAACAGCTCCCTGAACTATCCTGAGCTTCTGTCCCCACATTCCCTCATGGACAGAGCTGTGATGGGGGATGAGAGGAAGCGTGTAAAGCATTTAGCATGGGGTCCAGACTCAGTGTTCAGTCCATGGGGACTAATATTATTTAAAAACTCTGCAAGGCTGGAGTCACACGAGAGCAGCTGGAACCTCCTGGGATGCCCTGGCTCTGCCCAGACTCTAGACACCAAGGATGGCCCTGGCCCACTCTCAGGAGACTCCATTGCCTCTCCCAGGAAAAGCTCTGGTCATCAGAGGACAGGGAAGCTCCTTCAGCCAGACTGAGATCCTTGGAGATTTCCTCCCAGGCAGGATTCTACAGCCTTTGCCACGGCTAGGAAATTCTTCCCAACACATCCATCCCCATGTGAAAGGCGCCATTTTGACTGGGTGAGGGGGAGAAGAAGAGGTCTTGGAATTTGCTGATCAGGTTGGGGGGCAGGGCAAGACTGTAGATGGGATCTTTCCACACCCAACTTGGGTGGGAGGACAGGAAGCAGGGGACTCAGGAAATTATCAATGGAAGATGCTCAGAGTCAAAGCAAACTTTAGTTCCTTGCTCCATCTCTTCCCAGGTATCTGCTCTGCCTTTATTGACATCTGCAGTGTGTCAAGAGCCATGTGACGAGGGGGTTAGGTTTAATATTATTTCGCCTTTAAAAGAATCCTATGAAGTGGGTATTATTAAGCCCATCTTCTGCATGAGAAAACTGAAATTCAGAGGGATTTTGGAATCCCACAAAGGTCACACAGCTAGTAATGAGCCAGATCTGGGATTTGAACACAGGTCTCCCCACCTTCAAAGCCCATGGCCTTCCTACCTGGTTAGGTGAGACCAGATTGCAGTCATTCACAGACCATCGTCAAATACTTTTTGCCTTATGTGCTTATATTCCCATATTATTATTTGCTTAAGATTTCTTTTCCTTTTGATCAGGTCACTTTTGCAAAAGTTAAATTCCTACTAAAACATTCACTGAAGAGGGTAATCATAAAACAAATCCAATGAAAGAAAAATGCGGTTGAGTAGGTAGCACTGTCTGCCTAAGGGTCCAAGCCTTAGATCAGCTCTCTATTTGTTAAAAACAGAAAATAGCAAGGGATAGAGGCTAAAGGTGTTTAGGTCATGTTAACACTTAGCTGAGACCTTCATTTGGATGCAAATGGAAGGATTGAAAGAGAATACAAGAGGAATAGTTTTCCTACAGCCAGTGACTGCATAACGACTAACACTTACTGAGCACTTACTGTATCCCAGGCACTGGGCTAAGCCTTTTGCTTTCATTATCCCGTGTAATTCTCGCACTACCTTAAGAGGTAGAAACCAACCGTTAACCCACTTTTCCTATAAGGAGGTAGGTTCAGAGAGCCTAGCTCACTAGCCCGAAGTCACACAGTCAGGAAGAATCAGAATTCGAACTCAGGTCTGCCTGCCTGCAAAGGCCATGCTCTGGATCGCGGCGGCCCTGCCCCATTTCATCAGGTGTGCTATGGGTTAGCATGCAAATAGTTAAACAGAGTTGGCCCATCCCCGGTAGTGGGAGGGAGGTCCAGACTTTTGGCCTCCTCTGTGCTTCAGAAGTTTGACTTGGCCACTGCCCAAGTTCCCTCTTTCTCTTCCCTCCTTCCCAGCAGGTCCCTTGTTAATCTCTGTGGCTCTAATTTAGCAGGAGTCTCCTGGGTAGATGAGGCTCATGTGGTTACATGTTGCTACTCACAGCAAAAACTCCCCACCCCCTTCAGGAAGGATCCTGCCTTGGCCAGGAATGGGTCTGCCTCCTTGCCTGGTTCTTTCATCAAAACCTCTGCATTTCTAACAAGCAGGGCCATCCTGGACCAGTGGAAAGATCTATGCTGATCAACCCTCCTGGCTTCCTTTTTTTTCAAAAGTCTGGTGCCGGGGGAGGCAATAGGACATCATGATCAGCTGCTCTGACTTTGGAGGCCAAGATTCCAATTCCATTCCCATCTGCTTCTTTCCAGCAGTGTGACCTTGGGCAAGTCACTTCACCTCTCTGGCCTCAATTTCCTTGTCTGTAAATGGAGACAGTAACAGAACTTGCCTGGTGGGATCATTGTCAACAACTAGAGGAGATGACACACAGGTGAACTACCTGGCACATAGAAAGTACTCAGAAGGTTATAGTTTTCATAATCTTTATTTTCTTTTTTTTTTTTTAAAGATTTTATTTATTTATTTATTAGAGAGCGAGCGAGAGAGAAACAGCATGAGAGGGGGGAAGGTCAGAGGGAGAAACAGGCTCCCCACCGAGCCTGGAGCCTGATGTGGGGCTCGATCCCAGGACTCTGGGATCATGACCTGAGCCGAAGGCAGTCACTCAACCGACTGAGCCACCCAGGCGCCCCCATAATCTTTATTAATAATGGCATCCCAATGAGGCCATGAACATGTTCTCACAATTCTGGTAATTAGTTGAAGGAAGCATGTTCCAGATTGTCTCTTTCACCCAAAACAATCAAAAAATCATAAAAAAAAAAAAATAGCTTCAGAACTGGAACCAGAGTTGGATTCAGAAATCCCTTTGAGGTTCTCACTCACTGAGCCTGCCACTTGATTTCCCCAAGTCTCTGCTAAATGTTCTGTGCAATGGGCATATTAATTCCTACCTATGAACCACTCTGGGCTCTTTATAAAGTTCTACAGGTCACTTCCTATAAATGTGTTTGGGGAACAAAGCAGTTACGACCTGTTAAGAGAGACTTCAGCTGTGCCCCAAGGCTTATTCTAAGCATCAGAGAGAATGTTGCCCGGTGGCCGGCCTGTTCCATCCTAAACTCATCAGTAACGCGTCCTGTAGGAAAGCCCTTGCGGCAGGCACATGGCAGATGAAAGTGTGTTACCTGCTGTGAGTTACCGCCTTCCCTGCATTTTATAACGGGATGGCGGTGCGGGCCATTTCTGCCAGCAGCCGGTCCCATGTGGGCGAAGACCTCAACCAAAGGCCAAACATCTGGGCCACAGTGATCTTGTAAGTTAACTGTTGGAACACCATGTTACCATTTGCAAGGCGTGTTCAGACTCTGTCTTCAAATACTATGGTATACAAGTTTTATATTGCTGTCTCCATTTGCAGAGGAGGGCATAAACTCAGAGCAATTGAGTGACCTTCCCAAGACTGCCCAGCTAGAGAGGGGCAGAGCCAGGCCTCAAACCCAGTGTCTATGCCCTCAAAGCCTAAATTTGTATCAAAGCTACGTCCTTCCAGATGCACAGAAGTTTGTTTAAGCTATATGAAACATAGTACAGGGGCGCCTGGGTGGCTCAGTCGTTAAGCGTCTGCCTTCGGCTCGGGTCATGATCCTAGGGTCCTGGGATCGAGCCCCGCATCGGGCTCCCTGCTCAGCGGGAAGCCTGCTTCTCCCTCCCCCATTCCCCCTGTTTGTATTCCCTCTCTCACTGTGTCTCTCTCTGTCAAATAAATAAATAAAATCTTTTAAAAAAAAAAAAAAAGAAAAAGAAACATAGTACATGAATAGTATCTTGTGCTTCTCCTAGGCTTCCCGCAGAGGTGGATCCTGTGACAGTCTTTGCCTCGCTTTCCCCAGAGGGCCTGCTGATCATCGAAGCTCCCCAGGTCCCCCCTTACTCACCATTTGGAGAGAGCAATTTCAACAATGAGCTTCCCCAAGACAGCCAGGAAGTCACCTGTTCCTGAGACCCCAGTCTTGGCCCATTTTTTCCCCTCCCCAACCCCAGGGCTTCTCTGATTCCTGGGTACACGACTTGAGCTGAATTCGTAGATTTAGTGTGACTAAAATGTTGGGGGGGGGTTGCAGGGTGGCCTGACCACCGACTCCCTGGATAGGGTAGTAGTAGTAGGTGTTTCCATAGGATGGCGCAGTTGGCAGGCCATGCTCAGTTGCCTGAAGCCAAAATGCTGGGAGATTTTCTTTCTTTCCCTTTTCTCTCATGACGAAAATGTTGCCCATTCTGTAGTTGCAGAACAGAAGGGGACATGACATTTCACACTGTGTCTTCCCTTGCAGCGAATGCAAGGATTGCTTCTCTCTGGGGACCTCCCTGTCACCCAGATTCCTGTTCTGGGTTCCCACTTTCCATGCCTGCCCCATGGTTTGCTGGATGGAGCCCATTAGCTCACTCTACTATGTTTCTGCAGCGCTGGCCTACAAAGGGGGATAGCTAGGTCTTACCCCCCATATGGGATTTATCCAACAGCCACACGAAAACAGTGCCTTCTGCTCTTCACCCAAGCGTTTATATAGCATGTTCCCAAGTTGGCACTCCCTGAGGACTCTGGAAGCCCATTCATTCTCTGCCTAAAGTGCTCCCCCTCCCCCGCTTCTTGTGCCTCCTATGTCCAATTTGGGATTTTTACAGAGGGGGCTGTCTCCAAACAGCTCCACCAGGAACCAAGCAAAGGCCAGACAGACTGGTAGGCAGGCTAGTGGTATTATGTATATGAGTGGGACTTGTGTGTCATTGTTATTTGAATTGTGCTGTTGTTTGGGGGGGAAATAACAGTAAATAATAATAATAATAAAAGAGCTGATGTTCTTAGCCTTGTGTGCTTCTTTTGATGGGGAATGCTAAATGCTATACCACTGAGAGAGCTGATATCAATTAGGAATACTTGTAGCTACAAATAATGATACGCAACAAATAGTGGTTTAAATGACATAAACATCTATTGTCTAACTTTACAAGAAGTTTAGAGATGAGCGATTTCAGAGTTTTTTTCAGTTTGTACGCCACCAAGAGCCCAGAGATCTTTCTCCTCTGCCATCTCTGACAAGTCTAAAAGATCTGTCCTCATGTTTGCAATATGGCTGCAGCAGCTCCAGTCATCCCATCTTCATATGACAATGTACAGGAAGAGAAGGCAGGGGTAAAAGAGTCTTCTCATCTGGCTTTCTCTTTTATCAATGAGCAAGATCTTTTCCAGACACTCTTAGAAGACTTCCCTTTTATCTCATTGACCAAACTGGGCCACATGCTCTATCCCTGGAGCCAATCCCATTTAACCCCCATGATACCCTAAGAAGTAGACATTGATTTTACAATGAAGAAGCTGATGCTAAGCGGCTTTGGTGAGTCACAGGATAACAGCAGAACTTGAACCTGGACATTTGCTTTTGGAAGAGTTCATGAGGGGCTTCTGGGCTGCAAAGGCAAGGGCATCTCTAAACGCCCAAATTGACAGCAGAAGTCAGTGACTATTTCCTGAACACTTACTTGCTGGGTCCTGTGCTAGAAGCCAAGGATGTAGTGAACAATGAGCCACCATTTCTGCCCATAGGAGCTCACAGATCCATAACAGGAACAGGCAGATAAAGGCAGGCCTGTCCCTCACTTACCTCCTTCCACATACGAGACACCACGCTAGGGTTTCATGTGTCTGCTCAGTTCCATTGCTCGGCAATTCTCTGAGGTATGTTCAGCTCTCACCTCCACTTGACAGATAAGGAAACTGAGGCACAGAAGGGTTAAGGGCACTGCCCCAAATCACACACCTGGTAAGCAAGGGGCCCAGGAAATCTGACTCCAGACTTACTATGAAATAGGACCTTGTTCTGCTTTTCTCTCAACAAAGAAAACGTAAGCGTGGCGTCAGTGAGTCCATTCACCTTGTGGGAAGAAAAGAGAGATGGTATTTCAAGTTGGAGCTTTGCAGAGGGGTGGGGGTAGGGATGATGGCTTATCAGAAAGGGGGGGCGCTCCTTTCAGACTTGAAGATGGACAGGGTTGCAGCACTTGAGTAAGTAGGGGGAGGGATGGGGAGGGGCCTCACTGGCAGAAGAAAACACAGGAGCCCAGATGAAAGGTATGTCCCTTTTAAAATCCTTTCATGGTTCCCCACTGTCGGAAGGATTGAGTACAAGCTTCTTTGTGAGATTTGCAAGGCATTATGGGATCTGTCCTCAGGCTGTCTCTCTCCACCCTACCTTAACCCCCTACCTTCACCCTCCAGCCCCACCCAGCTTCCCCTCTGTTCCTCCAACCAGACAAGTCCTCTCTTGCTACCAGAACTTTCGACACGCTGTTCTCTCTCTCCACGATTACTCTCTGACCCTCCTCACTGGCTCATTGTTTCGGGTTCCAGCTCAGATTCCCACCAGGGTGGCCAGCGCCCCCTCTCACCCTCGTCCCCATGCAGCACACCATGTAACAGCTTGGGTATCTGTGCAGCAGAAGAAATCATAACAATCATAAAAACCCAACTGACCTTGACTGCCCTGTTTTCAAGGGTGAGAGGAGGAATCATTCAAGGGGGAAAATCCCTACCCATTTGATGTTTGTTCAACAAAATATTTATGGGGCATCCACCAGGTGTGAAGCATTGTGCTGGGTGTCGGATCCGTGTCTTTACACTGGGAGGGTCAGCTGAGAGAGAGAGAGGAGAACAAAGCTATGATTTCCTTGTTTGCCACTTCTGGGCTTAGGGATGGTGAGCCCCCGAGTGGGGAGAGTGGCGAGCCCATCCTGTGCGTCTTCTGGGCTAAGTGCAATGTTTGGTACATCAAATAATAATATGCCTTGAACGATTGAATGGTGAGTGTGGGTCACCCTGGGAAATTAGGCCAAAGGCACGATCTCAAATCCCAGAAACCTGGCTCCTTGCGGTTCTGAGCGCTTCCAGCTTAAACACACAAGCCTTGTCATCAAAATAGGTGACTCGGCCCTTCGCAGGAGATCTCCAACCAAGAGTATTGCTCCTGTGCCCTCACTTGCGTGATGATGCTGGGACACTGAGTGCCGGGGAGCCTGCTTCCCCACCCCATTCCCTTGACCCAGCTCCCCAGAACTTCTTATTCGCTGCCCCCTCTGCCCCCTCCCAACTGCCTGCCAGCCAGTGGCTACTAATGGTGATGTATGGAAATGCCTTGATTTGACCTTGAAGGGAAGAAACAAATTAATGTGTCTCGAAATAAATTCCGGGAATCAGCGGCTGGCTTCTCCCTCCCCCCACCCCCCACCTGGGGGTGCATCACGAGTTGTGCATCATAATGTGAAAATCAATACTGTCTCTTAAATGAGCCAACACCTGGAACTGGCAGGGTGTGGGGCTGCTGGGAGGTCCCTCCCCACCCACTGTCCTGAGCCCGGGAGTTTTCAGAAGGGGTGGGAGGCTCCAGGCCGGCTGTGGGAGCTGCTGTCTGGCTGCTGAGGGCTGGCTGAGTCACCTTGTCTGCAGCAGGGTCAATCCACCTGACCCCCAGCTCCAGGCTTCCCGGGTGCAAGCAGATGTGAGCTACTTGGGAGGCTCCTGAGGGAAAGGGAAGGGTGGCCACGTACAACAGCATCACTGTAGCCATTCTCCAAGGATAACTGGGACATGGGGAGGGGGGGAGACTGTAGGCCCAGCCCCCCAATCGAGCAGCGCAAGGTATATTTACTTGAGTGCCTTTCTTCAGGCTCGGCCCCCATTCAACTGTATGCCCAGGTACGTTGGTGCCAGGTGTCCAAATATTGAAATACTTCAGTATTTATCACTTGATAAATATAACACCGCCTGAGCCTCCAAGGTGACCCTATTGTCCTTGCCTGTATTAAGCATGTCTTTTTAGTCTGATGTTTTGATCACGTGGGGGCTTAGTGGCCCTGGAGGGACCGCCCCTCCCAAGCTTGGCTAATTCCTAGACATAGTAAAGGACTCACCTGCAGGCACACTTTTCATAGGAAAAGCAACCGATCCAGAGACCACACTCCAACCACCTTCTTCATCACACTCTTAACTCTCTGAGCTACTATCCACCTCCCCTGATCATCCAAGGTCAGGTGCCAGACGCTGGGAGACAGCCCCTGTGCCCCAAAACTGGCTGAAATTATTCAATCCAGCCAATCCTAAACCTGCCTAACCTGCCTCACCTGTTCCTTCCTGCAGAAACCACGGTCAAAGCTCCTGCTTACATTTCTGCCTATTCCCTTTGCCTCTTAACTGCCTCTCGTGCTTCTCCACGTGGCCCCCTGCAACGTGGCCCCCCTGCAACGTGGCCCCCCACAATGTGGCCCCCCCACAACGTGGCGAGCCCTCTCTTCTTGGGATCTGTAAGTATAACAGGCTATTTTTTTCAGTGGCAGTCATCTCTCCTCATCTTTCGGCCCGGCCATAACTGAATAATAATAAAACCTACATTCCAAAACATAGATACCTCCCCTGCCCTGCCAGTCCCCCTGGGAATAAGGGGGTGCCTTTGGACCCGTGGCCATTCTGAATAGTCAGGGCCCCGGCCCTACCTGTTGTTAAAGGTTTGGAATATCATCCCGCCCTGCCCAGCCTACTCTGTATCAGTTACTGCACTAGACCCTGGAGAAGAAGACAGACGTGGGGATCTGCCCTGTGGGTGTAGTGGGGTCACGGGCAAGAAGAAAATAGCAGGTCCCAGGGCAGGACTGAGCATGGGCTCTGAGATCAGGAAGCAGTGGGGCCAGCAGGAATCTGAGTTCTGACCCCAGCTCTGCTGCTCACCACTGCGTGTGACCTATGTGACCTTGTCACTTGACCTCTGCAAGTGTTCATTTCTTTATCCACAAAATTGGGTGATGGCGATGCGGGGCTAAGATGAGGATGAACGTGTGTGTGTGTGTGTGTGTGTGTGTGTGTGTGTGTGTGTGAAGTGCTCAACCCATTGGTGCTAATACAGTCCAAAATAAGTAAGGAGTGGAGGGTCCCTCCAGAAAATCCAGCCCCTCCTGAACAACTGAGTCCAGGGTCTTCCAGGGACCCATGGTGGGTTACTGAGCCACTGGAGAGTCTGGAGTCTGCACGTGCTATGGACACTTTCCCAGCACCTGCCTCCGAGTCCCCAGTGTCTCCGACTGGCAGAAATTAGGGGCACTGGGGGTGCCTGGGTGGCTCAGTTGGTTAAGCGACTGCCTTCGGCTCAGGTCATGATCCTGGAGTCCCGGGATCGAGTCCCGCATCGGGCTCCCTGCTCGGCGAGGAGCCTGCTTCTCCCTCTAACCCTCCCCCCTGTCATGTACTCTCTCTCTCTCTCTCTCATTCTCGCTCTCTCAAATAAATAAATAAATAAATCTTTTTTTAAAAATGTACTTAAAAAAAAAAGAAATTAGGGGCACTGAAGGGATTTCGCTTTCCATTATCAGAGGTCTAGAGGTAACGGGACACCACATCTCCGTAATCTTAGTGGCCAGGCCCACCCCCGGCCCAAGAAGGAACCTGTTATTGTACCCCAGGAAAAAACAACTTTGAAATCTGAATTATGCCATTTTTAATGAAAGAGGAGGCTGGTTGTAGCCCCTCAGCTGTCCTCACAGTCCCTAGGGCATGGCAAGTGCTCAGAATATCAGCTATTGTCATCACCTGCAAAACCGTGGACAGGGTTCATTTTTTTTTCTTTTTAAGAGAACAGGGAGGGAGGGAGGGGGCCAAGAACCCGCTGACGGTGGACTATAGCATTACCCTCCCTGGAAGACTTGGAAACTGGGGACAGATGCAAGGTGGGCAATGCTGCTTGGCTGGATTCACGCTCTTCCCCATCAGGTGCCCAATGGAGGTGTGGGGATTCTCTCCTAGGCTGGAGCCCCGACACCCAGCCTCCAGCACCCCTCACTGGCCCGAGGGAAGGGTAAGGGTAAGCTCATGCTCTAGAAATACTTCAAGATGGGATGCCTGGGTGGCTCAGTTGGTTAAGCATCTGCCTTCAGTTCAGGTCATGATCCCACAGTCCTGGGATCCAGCCCTGCATTGGGCTCCCTGCTCAGTGGGGACCCTTCTTCTCCCTCTCCCTCTGCCACTCCCCCTGCTTGTGCTCTCTCTCTCTCTCTCTCAGAAAAATAAATAAAATCTTAAAAAAAAATTATAGAAATACTTCGGGAAATTCTGATGTTATTGGTCTGGGGTGGAGCCTGGGCAGGGCTATTTTTTAAAAGCTCCCCAGGGGATTCTCATTTGCAGCCAGGGTTAGGAACCACCGGAGGGCTGGGCAGGGGGACAGGGGCTCCCCTGGAGGAGCCCAGAGGGCAGATAGGCCCTGAGTGGTGTCCAAGTTGAAACCCGAAGGACTAGTATTAATACTAATAGTGTTATCCAATGTTTATTGTCTCTGCTCTTCACAGCCCTTGTTCCATTTAACCTGTAGCCAAACTGCAGTGATCCAGAAATGTTCCCAAGGTCCCACAGCTGGCAAGTGGCGGAGTCACTAAGACAGTTTTAAACTCAGGCAGACTGGTGCCGGCCCACTGTGTCACTAAGCCAGGGAGCAGGTGGGGTGGGAAGGATTGTTTCTGGCAAAGGGAATAATGCATGGGTTCAAGTAGATGTGTGACTTAGGAAAAACAAAAAACAAAAAACCAGAGCCCTTAATCCTCTGTTTCTTCATCTCTAAAGTGGGACTCATTCATTGCCACCCTGAATGTCCCCCAGAGGGGTGGCTGGGAAGAGGAGCAGAAAGTTTGGAAACTGCAGAAGACCCCACCTCAGCAGCTCAGGAAAGCGGGGGGAGCAGAGGAGAGCCGAGGCCAGCTGTCTTGGAAACGATGCCTCGTGACCCGCTATCACGGGACGGTTTCATTCTCCGTACGCCTGTTTGTGCTCTGTCTGAGCTGCGTGACAGACTGGCTTGTTCTGGTTCTAACTGTGACAGCTTATAAGATCCACAGCAGACAGGATGACAGAGCTCACCGCCAAGAGCTGGGCATGCTTGTGCGCACACACGCGCCCGCAAGACGCTCAGAGCTGAGCCGGCCCAGACACAGTTTGGAGGACAGATCATGTCTTTGCGGAAGTGACAGAAATTGAGACTCTCTGGGGATGTCCAAGATTTCACACTAGATTGGCAGCTCCCAAAGGGAGTTCCATAAGAAGAAAAGGGAGCGGGGGTGGGTTCTGTGGTCAAGTAATTTTGGAAAGTGCCAGGGTAGACCCACTTAAACATCCTTCTTTAGTCTGCCCACGTGCATCGTGACCCCGCAAAGGGAAGGCGTCACTGCGAGCCCTGGTTGCATCACAAATGAACCCTAACACGCACTGACCTGAAACCACACATACTACTGGACAGTTTGGAAGTTTCAGGAATTCACCTGAGTTCAGCGGAGTGGTTCGGTCTGAGTGTCTCATTACATGGCATCAAGATGTCAGCCAGGGGTACGGTCATCTGAAGGTTTGACCGGGGCTGGAGGGTCTGCTTCCGAGCTCACTCTCATGGCTGTGGGACGGACACCGCTGGCCCTCGCCCCGCAGGCCTTTCTGGAAAGGGGGGCTGGTTGAATGTCCTCGTGACATGGCAGCCAGCTTCCCTTGGAGCAAGGGATCCCAGAAACAGCGTTAAGACGGAGGCACGTCTGTCATGTCTTTTGTGATCTGGCCTTGAAAATGGTACTACATCACTTCCTCTACAGGCTATGGGTCAACAGCCCCGTAAAGGAACGGAGAGCGGATCAGAAGGTGTTCCAACCTCGTCAAGGGATCTGGGCTTTCATTCTTCCATGCCGGCACCCACTGGCTAAGGTCTGCCCTAGGGATGGAAGCAGGGGGCAATGCAGGCATCAAGCTCTCTGATCCTATGGGCAAAGTGGTTCTAGGAGCCCCCGGGTGGTTCTGCAAAGAAGAGTCACAGATACAAACCCACCCAGAAGCCAGGGGGGGTGTGCACAGATGGTTAAATCTGAGCAGACTGCTGCCAGCATCTGCTGCATTTATACTCACACAGAATTGGAAATGACAAAACGGCTCGACTGTATGGGGTTCGCCGGACAAAGGATGGTGCTTCCGTACAATGGGAAAAGAGTATGCAGCCGTTAACTGTCATGCTCCTGAAGATGATTTAATGTCACAGAAGCAGTACAAGAGAAAAGCTGGCCTCACGTAATCAGTATGTGTGATCACCCATTTATAAGAAATATAAAATCGCAGCTGCATTTCGGTTGTTCCGTTGTTATAAATTTGCATTAAAGTTGTTATTTTTCTAAAGAAGGTGGGTGTTCCGAGTTTTTTTTTTTCTTTGTGCATTTCTGGGTTTTCCAAATATTCTGCATAAAGAATGTATTGCCTTTGAGACCAAAAAAAAAAAAAAAAGGAAACCGAGTGGTTAAATCTAGGATTTGATTCTCCTAAGAGACACTTTGATGGAATAGATCACCTGACGCAGATTTCCCTTCCTCTCCTACCACAGGGCATTTGCAGGGTGGTAGAGTGAAACAATCATGCACACATTGCAGAGCAGGGCTGCCCTGCTTTGAATTCTGTTCCATCATTTACTAGCTGGGTGACCCTGGGCAAACGTCTTAACTTCTCTGTGCCTCAGACTCTCGGGCAACAACATAGGGGTGAGGAGGGAATGCTTTGCAGAGCTGCTGTGAGGAATAAATGAGTTAAGATATGTAAAATACTTAAAACAATTCCTGGCATATAAAAAGACAGGCCGTGTGGACACCCTCCCCTAACCACCCCGCCCTGTCCCTAATTACTAATCTGAATGGCTAAGGTCTTACTTTGCTCTTCCTCCTCTCGTTAAAGCTATCCTGTCCCACCTTCTGTCGCATCCCTTTGGGATCCTGCCAGGCGTAAGTGGGTAGTGATGAATGAATGAATGAATCAGGTTGCCCAATCACATCATCTGTGCTCAAGTCTCGCCTCCTCCGGGGATGCCCTTTGAGCCCCATCTCGGAAGCCCTGGAGAGCCCCGGAGAGCCCTGTGCAGGTCCCAGGGGTGCATACCTATGGCTTCTCCCTGGCAGCATCCGGGTCTCTTTCGTCTCAGCCCCTGCATATGTCTTTGGGGTATCCTCACCATTATGTGCGGCTTCACGGGGCTTTTCCATCAGAGGGCCCTGTCCCAAGCTACAGCCATCAGGGCCTCCCTCGTGGGAATTTGAAACTTCTGCAGAGCCTCAGGGATGGAAAGTACCTGAGTTGATTCATCCCAGTGACAGTACCCTGAAGAGATGTTCATTTTTCTTACTTTCTAGATCCCTGGAGCGGCCCCATTCCTGTCCTTCCTGGGGGTCCAGTGCTTAGCTTTCCTCTCAATTATATGAGCTATACCACATCCTTTTCCCATAACTTAGGTAAAGTCTATTTCTTTCCCTTGAAAATGACAAACACCAGCTGCTATTATAGTGAGAGAGGGAGAAGGACAGAGAGAAGGAGAGGGACAGATGGTGGGCCAAGTGACATCTCCCCTGCCACCTGTAAGGTGACACCTGGACATCCAGTCCAGCTCAACGAATGACTCCTTCTGGGACCCCGGGCAAGTCTTCCCACCTCTTCCTTTGATCCTCTGTCTCCTGGAACCATCCCATGAATGCAGTGGTGCTGGGAACCCTGTCCTAAGCTCCCCATGCATCTCCCTGGGATCATCACACACATCCCAAAGCTCCACTAGCCGTCTTGTCTAAGCTAGCACCCCCAATCCCTCTCTCTGGCCCAGATCAGCAATCCTGAGCTGCATGCAAATGCCTCCTGGGCATCTCCATGCAGGGGCTTCTCAAGCTCCACATGTGCAAAAAAGAATTCAGTCTCTCTTCTTGCAAACTGCTCCCTCCTTTTCTCTGCCACTTTAGAACGTGGCGTCAGTATATACCCCTCCTTGTCAGCCGGTCACCAGGCATTGTCCATACTCAGGCATCTTCTGTCATATGAGCCCTATTTGTCTAGCTGTGGTCACTTTCCAACATTCATTCATCTGCTTACCACTTAACCTTTAGAAGTCCCGGCTGTGGGTAATATCACCCCAATGGGAGGAAACGGGGAATCAGAGAAGGGAAGCAATCTGCCCAAAGTGACACAGGACGTAGGAGAGCAGAGCTGGAACCTGAACCCCAGACTGTCAGAGCCCATAACCCACGCTCAGTCCCCCAGGATCCCCTGTCCATGGTGCTCGAATTCAGGAGGAGCAAGATTTGGGCCAAACTCTGTCTGGCCAGTTACTAAGGTCCCCTGTGCAAACAGCAACAGTGTTGCTCATGAGCTCATCTGCTCCACCTTACTCCACCCAGTTCCTGATCTGGGCTCATGACCTTGGAGCTAATCTCCTAGACGACCAGAGGGATGCAGCAAACAGAGGGGACCTGCCAACTCGGCGCTGAGACTCCAGGGCAGGACAGGTGGCGCCAGCCCAGGATGGGGAGGTGGTTGGGGGGCGCTGACGTCCCCAAGGGCTCCAGCCCAGAGCCTCCACTCTGCGTAGCTACCACCATGTGCCCCGAAGGACCAGAGGACTCCAAGACATGGTCCTAGCTGGGCCACCAGAACCAGGAAGCCTTGGGTGGCTGGAAGGGCGTGACCTGCAGTGAGCAAAAAACGCTCGTTATATGATCCTGGGGTTCTCGGGAAGGTTCCAGAGACCCAGGTTCCAACATGGCTTTGGGAACCACTGGCTCCACAGCTTGTCAGGAAATTCGTAACTCCCAAGTGTAGCCGGCATCTGAGCACCTCTCGCCTCTTCTGCCTCCACCTTGATCTGAGCCCACGGATGTTACAGCTGAGGCCGCTTCCACCCTTGTCCCCACAGTCATTTTTTTTTTTTTATTTGACAGAGAGAGACACAGTGAGAGAGGGAACACAAGCAGGGGGAGTGGGAGAGGGAGAAGCAGGCTCCCGGCAGAGCAGGGAGCCCGATGCGGGACTCGATCCCAGGACCCTGGGATCATGACCTGAGCCGAAGGCAGACGCTTAACGACTGAGCCACCCAGGCGCCCCCCCCACAGTCAATTTTTAAAAACTATGTTCATGGCAGTAAATAGCATATATAATAGAATTTACGATTTAACCCTTTGTTTGCAAGTGCACGATTTGGTGGCATTGATGACATGCACAATTTGTGCAACCATCGCTGCTATTTCCAAAACCTTTTCATGACTGCAAACGGAACTCTGTAGGCATTAAGCACAAAACTCCCCATTCCTCCCTCCCCCGGTTCCTGGGAATCTCTAACCTACTTTCCATCTCTGTGAATGTGTTTACTCTATACAGCTCATAAAAGTGGACTCATACAGTATTTGTCCTTTTGTATCTGACTTCTCTTGCTAAGCGTCATGTCCTTAAGGTTTGTCCATGTCGTAGCAGGTGTTTGAACATCTTTCCTTTTTATGGCTGGATAATATCTTCCTGTATGGATAGACCACATTTTGTTTATACATCCATCTGCAGATGGATACCTCACAGTCAATTCAGCCACAACAGCCAGAGTGATCCTGGGAAAATATTACTCAGACCATGGCTTGGCTTTACTCAAACCCTCCTATAACTCCTTAATTCATTCAGAGTAAAAGCTGTTGTCCTTATTATGGCTACAAAGCCCTAAAGGATTCTCTCCGTACACACACTGCATTCCCTCTGTGGCCCTTCAACCTCATCCCTTCCCACTTTCCCCACTGCACCCCTTTCTGTTCGTGAACACCTCAGGCACACAGCCTGCCACCTCAGGTCCTTTGCACATGCAATTGTCTCTGCCTGGGAGGCTCTTCCTCCATCTGTGTGGCTGACACTCTCATCTCCTTCAAACGTTTGCTCAGCTGTCACCTTCTCAATGAGGCTCATCCTGAACACCCTCTTTAAAACTGCAGGCTTCCCCCTTCATCCATCATTCCTGAGCCCCCTTGTCGCGATCTATTTTTCCCATAAGACTTATCACTTGCTAACATGCTCTATAATTTCTGTATTTATTATTTCCATTGTTTGTTACCTGTGTTGTACCCCTAGAATGTAAGCTCTGTGAGGACAGGGATATTTTTTGCCTGTCTTATTCATCAATCTATCCGAAGCACCTAAAACAGCAGCTGGTGTGCAGTAGGCACTCCATAAATATTTGTTAAATGAATGAATATGAGTTGAGACCCGTTGCTGCATTTCCTTAGCCTCTGTTTCCCTATTCATGAATCAGGGACTGGAGTGTCCCTGATGAGTATACGCATCAGATAATGAGGATCCGGACCCTTTGTAAATCGGAAAGCATTTTTCGAGTAACGAGGGGAGAAGAAAATCGATCTTCACAGAATGCCCTTGTAGCCAGCTACTTTCCATTTGACAGGTGGTAACACAGAGGCTCAGAGTACCTGGCCTCAAGATCTCACACAGAGAAAGGGTAGGAAGTCAGAGCTTCAACCCAGCTGTCTGGCTCTTCCTCTAAGTTGCTTCCAGCTCTGGTATCTCAAAAGCCTGAAGGGAACACTCCCTCCTTCTCCAGGGAGCTGTTCTGAGCCCAGGGGAATAATAATGAGGATAAAGATAGGAATAATTGCTGCCTTTTATTAAGAACTTCCTACATATGTCAGCCTCACTTTACTACGTGTCAGGTGCTTTAAGTATTCTATCCTCACCAGACAGCGGGGAAATGGGTGTTATTATTCCCTCATAACAGATGAGGAACTCAAGGATCAGAGAGGTCAGGCCA